CCCATGCTGGGTGCCACGAACGAGCCTCCGGGGCCCTCCGCTCTCCGCCACAGCTCTCGTCGTTCGGGAGCACGCGGTTCGACCAGATTCCAGCGAGGCGATATCGTTCACTTTCGTAAGCCAAATCGTTAATAACAGGCAGAGAGGCGCGTCTAGAACTTGCTTTGAGTAGAAAATTCTTGAGACTGCGGTATTCAGAAATCTTCTTAAAAATATCACTAAATTAAATATTTTCAAGTGAGATAACAATTTTTGAAAATATATATTTTTGAAAATATTATATTTTGTGGCTGGAGATATAAAAAAAAAAAATTATTACTGCAAATAATCACAAAGGAAATACTATTTTTTTTTTTTTTTTTCTATTAAAAACTCGATTCATTAAGATTTAACGTGCCAAATTCCCAAAAATAGTACTTAACTTAGAGAATATTTTGAGAAATTTTTAGAGTTGCTCGATTCGAGTTCGAAGAACATTGCAAATATTCTTCAGGACAACAACGAATAAATATAACAGCCAGGGAGTTAAATTACGTATTACTGTATTGCATTAAGGTGAGAATATAGGCGATAAGTATAAACGCTCGAAATGTTACTGTTACGGTCGTTCTACGATTAGTTATTGCCCTGCTCTTCGCGGAGAGACTGCACAAATCTAGATTTAGAACTATATTTAGGAATTGAGAACTGCACATTTTCTCTCCGTGGAACCGTACGCGCACTGTACTCTCTGTAACCGTTTGTATTCTGAAATATTCCTTGATTTAATCTGGCTGGTTTACCTCAGTTGCGGTCGCGTTCGCCATTCTAAATGATCGTTCCATCGAACGATGGCGAACACGTTCACGTAGGACGGTTCAACGACTCGAATTGTTCGGGCAGACGGCCAGGAACGTTCGCGCGAACGTTTCAATTTTTTTTTTTCATTCAGCGACACAAGGAAATGAAGGGATACCACGGCGGCCAAGAACCGCAGACGGATCCTCATAAATTTTCGCGATCATAGTAAACATCGTTTAATGAGCGAACACGGACACGTTCAACGCCGATCTGCGTACCGAAATTATATCCACTCGCACATTTACGATCCGTTCACGGGACATGAACAAAACTGCGGATCCAGATATCGCGCTGCCATTATAGAATTTTTCATACCCCACGAGGAGCGATGAAGGCGATTAAAAGAAAAAATATGAACCCCTTCACGTTCAGAAAATAATGAGTTTAATCAAGTACGCTCTGCATTCTACATTGAAAAATTCAACGAGTTAATGAAGTGTTCTTCGCGTCGTTTTTTTTTACATTTTTACATTTGATCTACCGACGAACAAAGAGCTAAAGAAATTAAGGGAGGCTCAAGTAATCTCGCGCGGTGATCTGCCGAACCGCGATTCAGTTTCGAGATAAACGTCAGACGTTCACTCACCTTCACGAGGGACGTGACGACCGGGCTGTCGAGGAGGCCCTTCAGGAACAGCAGGTCCGTGTCATCGGCGACTTTGCCCAGCTCCTCGATGTTGTCACGCACGTGCATGAACGCGGCTGGAACAGTAACGGCGTACTTGTTCATAATCAGCTGCGGATTCACCGTGGCCTGGAACGGCGCATCGCCGCATCGCGGCAGCAACAGTCGAGAGAGAGAGAGAGAGAGAGAGAGAGAGAGAGA